CTTGCATATTTAAAATTTTTTAAAGCCTTCTTGGTACAGAGATAGAGATTAGAGATAATCCCAAAGTAATGTTGTACTTGCAAGCGTTTCTAGCTAAGACGTATGGCGACGCACACAGTGACGTAACGACGTTGTTCCCTGGGCGCTCTAGTCAGTGGAAAAACAAACAGGTTCTGAAGCGGTTCGCCAGTTGAACCAACTCCGAACCAACTTTGAACCAGCACCAGTTCCGAACCAGTTCTTTTTTTGGTGGAAAAGGGGTATCAGAGGTCTCATCCTTTGGCGTCGTATGACATTTCGTCGAAATACTATGCACATGGCACGCTTTAGCGTCAATATAACATGCAGAACCCAAGGTGTCAAACAGGTGATTAGCATCCTTTAGCGTCAATGAGACGCAGACCCTACCCCAGACCTAAACCTACCCATAACAGTGCGTGTTATATTGACACTAAAGGGTGCCATGTGTGTAGTATTTTGGCGAAATGTCATATGGCGTCACCTATATGACGCCAAAGAATGAGAATGCGTTGGTAAAATCAGGTGTGTTTGATTAGAAAGACCTTACTTTCTGACATCCCAATTGGTTTGTGACACTCTAAATACATAAGTATTTACATAAGCATTCCTTTTTAAAGTGTTACACTCGACACTTTATATAGGAAAATACTTGACTAAAGCCAAGTTCACACTACAGGATTTTTAAGCCCGATTTATACCCGATTTGCAAATCGTTGAGCTCGCCGACAGGTCAGGATGTTATCGCGTGCAAATCACGGGGGATTAGCGGACGATGAACGCGTGGCAATCTGTTAGTATGAAAGAGCCAACAACGCAGCGAAAACGCTCGCAGACGCGTCGCCGAGCCCAGAAAAATATCTAGCCTGCTAGATATCCGAGCCGTCGCACGACTCAACCTCAGTGATGTCATGTTGAGGACACCAGGTAAATCTTAGTTTTTCTTTTTTTTGTTGCATTTTTTTTTTCTCAGAGCAAATCATCACGCAAACAGTGTGCAGCACTAGTTTCTGTCTGACGTTCATATTCGTGTGTTCTCTTCTTCGCTGGGTATTGGCGCACGTGCTGTTTCGTGTCATTTCTGGTCGTTTTATTGCGTGTTTTTTCGTGACAAAACGTGGTTTGTAGACAAGATAGAATCGTTGGGTGACAGAGTTGTTGTCAACTTATTATTTATTTGATTATTTTCATGATTTAGACCGTACCATAGTACTGAAACAGCTCTCATTAGAGTCAAAAATGATTTGCTCTTATCATCCGATCGTGGTTGTATCTCTATGTAGTGCGTTGTCAACTCGTGTAGTGAGTTACCTCCTGGTGTGGATCAATCGTGTTGTGCTGTTTGATGTGAACTGCTAAACAACTTGAACACTGATTTCACTGAGAGCAAGTCATGTAGTGTGAACCGCACAGTTCAGCCCGACGTTTTAAAATCATGTAGTGTGAACAAGGCATAATAATGATAAACATACTGACTTAATGCTGTATTCATTTGTCCTAAGAATGCATGCATCAGCATGGTAGCCTATTGCTCTGGCTTTATTTACTTGGTGGAGCAACAACCTAAGTAATACAAACTCTGTTTTGAAAATGATAGCAATGTGTGTGATTGTTCTTTGTATGAAATTTTTTGGCATAGATGGCTTACACACACACACACACAATATGCAAGCAAGAAAGAGAGAGAGAAAAGAGCTTTTACAACCTCAGTCTTTGATAAAGATCTGCACAATGAATGAGTTACATGAAAGCCAATGAATGGTTTCTAAATGAATAGTCAGGAGAGCATCAGATCGTGTTGACGTATGCATGTCAAATGTATTGGTGCGGTTAATTAGGGGTCTGATGTGAATACAGCTGTCGACGAGGGCCAGCTGGGATTGAGTCTTTTGTTTCTGCTCTGTGGAAAATGAAGGGATGCTGTAGATAAAGAGGAAGTGATGGAGCTGAAAAGACGGGAGCTTTGGTTAGGAATGCCGACTGTGGATTATAGCATTCTTCTGCCGCTTAAGACATTCGTCTCCTGTCCCACTTACTCATTCACTCATTCGACTCTTTCCTGTCTGACAGTCCACTTGTCCACAGTGTTCCGGGCTCAAAGTTAAGCTTTATGGATAGCATTTGTGGCTTACATTAATTATTCCATACAAAAGTTTTATTTGAGCTGTAAAGGTGTCATGGTCAACATTTTAGCAGTATGGCTCTTTTCTTCAGATAAGATCTTACACTATGTAATCATGTAAAGATGATGTTCCACTAAAGTAAGTGTCAGGGTTTTGTTCTGTTATGTCTTTGTTTTCATTGTGTTCACCTTCATCTTCAGTTTATCCACCTTTCCCATTTGTTTAATCTCATTCACCCGTTGCTCGTTAATTAGTTCCAACTAGTTTCTTGTTTGGTCTTCATATATATATATATATATATATAGTTTTTATGTAATATATAATGTGTATATATATATATATACGCCTGGCTATCAGCTTTTAACAGGCTTCAATTTTCTCTGTTGAAATCAATGGGGTCGCTGTATCCATTTTTTTTGGATTTTACTGTCTATGGATGTTTTGTGTGTGCACTCATTCAAAGCATGCGTCCAGAAAGCCGCGTCTCAGGATTGAGGACTGAATTGAGTTCTCTTTCCATTTTCTTGTGCTTGAACGGACAAATTCACACAGACATTTCGGCGAGTATCCTAGTAAACACAGTCGGTTATGGCTTAACTGAATGTAAATAGTTGAGAAATAAAACAGTACCAGATCCATGCAACCCTTAAAGTGACAGCAGCCTAATATTCTCACTGCGCTGCAGTCTGTTTTAATGTTAACCAAACAACAAAAGACCAAATATATTTGGGGTTGATGAGTTTTAGCTTACCTCTAGGGCATCCAAGACGCAAGTACACATTGATGGCCTAAGACAAGAAACGAGCGGTTTGTGTAAGAAAATGAACAGTATTTATATGGTTTTTACCTCAGATCACTTGGACATGGCTATGGTTACACAAGGTAAAAACGATATAAATACTGTTCGTTTTCTCACACAAACCGTTCGTTTCGTGTCTTAGGCAATCAATGTGTTCTTACATTTACAAGTCATTAAATCATGTTTAATTTGGACTTCTCTGTGCATGATCTTTGAGGTGGTGACCATAGACCTGCATTATATGACTGATAAGACACGAACAGTTTGACCTAAAAATATAAAAATTGAAACTACTGCGGAAACAAAGACACCTACATCTTGGATAAAGATATTGAGGTACACTAAAACATACCAACAATTTATTTCAAAGTGAACTATCCCTTACACATCAATGTTGAAACGGATGTGCTGCTTAATTGTTGTTTCTTAATGTTTAAAAATTCAAAAGAACAGTATTTATTAATAGAAATAGAAATCTTTTGTAACAAAAATGCCTTCACTGTCTCTTTCGACCTATTTAATGTGTCCTTGCTGAATGTAAGTATAATTTAAAACAAAACTTTCTGGCCCCAAACTTTATTTTTAAACATAATTTTTTTGGGAGGCAACATTTAATCATTTAAATACAAGTTAAGTGCAAAACGCAAATGCGACGGATCAGCTTAACTTAGTTGTTTATTACCCATAATTTCAATCAAAGATTGACAAACATTCAAACAACCAAACTATTTTCTCTATCCCATACATACATACTTTGGCCAACTGCTGACATCAAACAAACACAAATACAAACAAGCACACTAACACACTGTCGAAATCAAGTTTTACCCTTCTTTTCTCCCAATTAACAAATAAATGGAATAAAATAAATTAAAAAGGCAAAGACTTTCAAAAAAATCATGCACTAATTATACAAATGCAACAAAGAAATATTAACATCTAAATTAAAATACAGAAGCTCTCTCACTTAAAAAGCAAACACAGCCACAAACTGTACCGTGAACACGCACTCCCACGAATACAATAGTGATCTAGCACTGCGACGTCATGGCGGTCCTATCAGGACGCCACAGGAAGCACAGAGGTGAGCGTTCTCGTGAGAATAAGAGTGATGTTACATTCATTAGATTGCATTGTACTGTGAGGTGTTGCTTCTATCCTCATGATGAAGTTAGGTGACATTGTGGTTCATCATTCAGTATCAGGATTACTGCTGTAACATATGTTCTTAAAGGGATACTACACTTTTTTTTGGAAATAGTTTTACCGTTTTTAATCCATTCAGCCGATCTCCGGTTCTGGCGGTACCACTTTTAGCATAGCTTAGCATACATCATTGAAGTGCACAAGACCATTAGCATTTCTCAAAAAAAAAAAAAAAAAATGACCAAAGAGTTTCAATATTTTTCCTATTTAAAACTTGACTCTTTTTTAGTTACATCATGCACTAAGACCGACGGAAAATGTAAAGTTGCGATTTTCTAGGCTGATATGGCTAGGAACTATACTCTCATTCCTGCATAATAATCAGCAGGCGCAATGATATGACGCAGCGCCTGAAAATAGTCCCCAGCTCGATAACTTCCAACGCGAACGGGACTAAGTTTGTGTAGTTATGCTGATGGAAGATAGCATATTTTCAGGCGCTGCGTCATATCATTACGCCTGCTGATTATTACGCGGGAATGAGAGTATAGTTCCTAGCCATTTCAGCCTAGAAAATCGCAACTTTACATTTTCCGTCAGTGTACGATTTAACTATAGAAGATTTAAATAGGAAAAAAATCGAAACTCTTTGGTCACTTTTTTTGTTTTTGAGAAATGCTAATGGTCTTGTCCACTTCAAAGATGTATGCTAAGCTAAAAAGCTAAAAGTGCTACCGCCAGAACCGGAGATCGGATGAACGGATACAATAACGGTAATCCTCAACAGTTTAACTCTGGGGGAGTTGTAAAATGAGCCTATTTCCCAAAAAAGTGGAGTATCCCTTTAAAGAGATGTAAAGATGGTGCTTTAGGAAACATGGTCATGACCTTTTCTGTTTAGCACATAACATGTCTTTTTTTTTTTTTTAGTATAACTAATTTAATTCAATGTCTTATTATAGGGACCTATTACATTTACACTTTTTAGATTATGTCTTATTAAAGGTCATTTACTCAACTTCATATCATTGCAAATCTGTATTACTTGTTTCTTTTCTGTGGAACATACTAGTTACATTATCATCGTATGGAAAAGAGCAGTGTCAACATTCTTCACAACATCTCTTTTTGTGTTCCACAGAAGAGTGAAAGTCAAACAGGTTTGGAACAATGAGCATGATTTCTATGTAACATTACCTAGAGCGCTATAGCTTGAAAAGCATCTATATTCGCCATGGTCTCAAAAGCACCTTTTGCATTATTATGTTATGTTGTGTTTGCCGTCAGAAAAGTGGTTTGGTTATACTTATTAAGGTAAGTTTTGTGAACAAGTTCTATGAATTAGGCGAACACAGGTGACACGACAAAGGGGAGTTCACTAAAGTGAGCCTGGTACGGTTTCAGTTAAGAGAGTCTTGGTGGCTGAGCTCGGAGTCAGAATTGGGGTCCGGGAGAGCATGGTTATCCTGGAGATACCCTTCAGGATCGGGGTCATTCTCGTCATTGCTTTCCGCACTGTAGTCCACTTCCTCCAGGAACGCTGGCTCATCCTCATCCAACACGTATGTGGTGTTACTGCAGAAAACACACACAGACACATGGCTGTCACACAAAAAAATCGATTTCGCATGGTCTTAAGGTCCTTGCACACTGAGACCCGAAATTTTGCGTCAGATGCGTTTTAATCCGTTGCAAAAAAAATTGTAAAACAATACAAAATGGAGTCTTTAAACAGTGAGAATGATTTTCTTGTCCTCTCTCTTTTTAAAAAGAGAAAAGAAAAGAGGGAATATTGGGTCCATCATCTAATCCTGACAGCGTAGAGAGAGAGAGGGGAAAGAGAGGTCCACTGCGGGATTATTCAAAGTTTACTTCAGGATGTCAGTGGCTCAGTTTGATGCTTTGCTAGCAATACTGGAGCCACATGTTAAAAGAAGAGCACCAATTTTCATGAAGAGTTTTGGATTTTAGCGTTGGCTTGTACGGTGGCTCTGAATCGTCAAAAAAACCTCTCAAAATGCTTTCTAAGGATGCGAAAAACGATTTTTTTTTTTTTACGAACGAAAGTTTCGGAGGCAGTGTGTAAACAGACTCGGGTTTATGCCACTTTTTCTCCTTCTCGCTCATCTTTCCGTGATTTCTTGAAAGAGCGTAAAGGCCCTTGAACGCCGAGTACGAAATTCACGTCCGAAATTTTCGCACGTTTAAAAACAAATACGACCTCACGTTATGTCAATTATGCTTGCACTGCCTCCGAAACTTTCACCCGTCATGAAAACATTCAAATCGGGTTCAATTTTCTGGGTTTTTTCGCATCCTTAGCAAGCAGTTTGAATGACGTTTTGACAATTCAGAGCTACCGAATCACGGATATGAAAAAACGCTTACGAAAATTTGCGTTTTTTGACTTGGTGTACAAGGGCTTAATGGAGTAGTTCATTTTTAAAAACACTTTTGCTGATAATTTACTCACCTCCATGTCATCCAAGATGTCTTTCTTTCTTCAGTCGAAAAGAAATTAAGGTTTTCGATGAAAACAAAAAATAAATAAGTTAAATAAATAAATAAATAATAAATACGTTTTATAAGCACAAATGCTCGCCTTGCTCTGTTCTGTGATGCGCGTTCGTGACTCTCCTGTTCGAACTCGTTCATCAAAATGAACGAATCTTTTTTCGAGTCATTTTGTTCATTTAACGAACGAAATGAGACACAGAACAGAGCAAGGAGAGCATTTGTGGTTATAAAACTTAAAAGTTTTTTATTTATTTTTGAAATGACGATCGTTTCGCTAGATAAGACCCTTATTCATCGCCTGGTGTCGTTTAAAGCCCTTTGAAGCTGCACTGAAACTCTCATTTGGACTTTGAACCGTTTGGTTCCCATTGAAGTCCATTATATGGAGAAAATCCTGGAATGTTTTCATCAAAAACCTTAATTTCTTTTCGACTGAAGAAAGAAAGACGTGGACATCTTGGATGACATGGGGGTGAGTAAATTAGCAGCAAAAGTGTGTTTAAAAGTGAACTACTCCTTTAACACAACATCATCCAGATGAGCCAATCACCAGAACTAGTGCAAAAAAACTTTTACTTTTCATTATTATTTTTATTTTGTACTTTTATAACAAGAGATGGTTTTGAATTTTATAGTGGATTGTGACCAAATACCTTTTAATTATTTATCAGCCCTACAAAAAATAAATAAATAAATAAAAAGACCTATGCAAGAGTGCATTCTGTTTACGGTTTAGTGCTTGTGACCCCAAAACCAAGGTACGTACCCATCCGTGACTTCCTTATATCATTACCCCCCAAATATATATTTAGTGAGTTTAGTTTGTGTGTGTATATATATATATATATATATATATATATATATATACACATATATATATATATATAAGGACATTGATTTTCATAATTTTGGCTCTGTATACCGCCAGAATCGAATTCAAATAAATCAAGATCAATTTATTTAATTCAACGGGTTGAACAAAAATATAATTTTACAAATGATGACAAGTTCAGAAATTACAAATGAAAAATGAACAGATATTTCTAGATTTTCCATGATCGCTGGTGCACTGTGGACCAAGAAACCAGATCCAATCCCCAAGTCTCTGACATTTGGTTTTCTATATATAGCTCGGGACTCCCCTTCAATGTAATTCCATGGGATTTCCCACCTCTCCTCAACAAGCCACATAATTCGAGACATCATTCATGTTTGCAGCAAAACAATGCGGGACGAGTTACGAGCCACAGTTTAATACTCGGGGTTAGAGATTTGAACAACCCCCTAACCTAAAGTTTGAGCTATAATAAATGACGGGTCAATACAACAAAACCAACAAACGACTCCTGTAGGGTAGCGGTCGAAAACCTCATGTGGCGGCACAGGAGGCATTTCTCAGCATCCCTCTCTCTCTCTTTCTCTCCTAACACAATAACCTTACTAAGAGTGATGATGGTTTTATGGCCCTCTTGTTAAGCAGTTAAATGGTTTAATGTGTGGTCTGGTGGTTTGGCTGGTTTTAGTGGGTTTTTAATGGTTTTAATGGTGTGATAGGGAAGAAACTGGATCCAAGTGAGACGGGCTGAGGGGAGGGGGGGCAGACTCAAAGTGGATTAGCGGGCGTTTTGATCAGGTGATTAGATGACTATAATGAGCAGAGTGCTTCTCTCTTCACTCAAGTGCGCTGAGCCCCATGTGACTGACATCTCCTCAAGTGGTGCCGGCCATTAGAAGAGAGCTGCAAGATGTGTGTGTGTATGCATGTTATTATCCATTACAGAAATACACAAGTTGGGAGGGGCCGAAGAATGTTCCCAAGAAGCTTCTAGACTCTAGAAGATTCTGACATCATGGACTATTATTGTTCTGAACATTGTGGGCTTTGAGCTGCTTAATGTTGTGTTGAAACTTGATATGGCAGTCGTTGCGTCTTCTACGGTTTGTGCCGGTTCATGCGGCAGCACAATAACAGGACGTCCCTGAGCTGGATATGGTCATTGTACTGGTGTGTGTGTGTTTTACCTGGTGATGTTGGGGATGCTGCGTGTGTCTAAGTCGTTCTCCATGTCCAGTAGATGAGAGTTGTGGTTGTGGAGCTCCAATGGGGACGTGAAGCGTTTTAGCCTGAGCATAGCCAAACAAAACTGAGCGCCCATTTCCTCCAATTCATTTGTCCCGATCTGGAGACCCTGCAAACACACACACAGATCCCATGTTACAAGAACTATTTGTACAGGATTAGTTTGCAAAATGACATCTGGTTCGCATTCATAAACTCATTCATTATGATTTCATGGACTGATATAGACAGCATTGGGTTCTTCAGATTTGACTAAAACCGGAGTGTGTATTGTCTGTGTGTGAGACACAATGAATTATATAAATAAAGTAGGGCTGTAAAACGATTAATCGCGATTAATCGCATCCAAAATAAAAGTTTGTGCTTACATAATATATGTGTGTGCACACTGCACAGTGTATAATTATTTTATATATAAATACACACACATGCTTGTATATATTTAAGAAATATTTTCATGTATATACTGTATATAGATTTATATATAATTTATATTATATATAAATATAAATATTTTATATAGAATATTTGTTTCTTAAATATACAAGGGTGTGTGTGAATTTATATATATATATGAAGAGTTCAGATGCAAACGCCTCTAAGTGCCATTTGAAATTTTATTCTAAAATGATCATTTTTATCAAGCTTGTATATTTAAGTTCAGTAATTTCACTTAAATGGCAATGAAGATTACCTATTAATTGTCATTTAAGTGAAATTACTGAACTTAAATATCCAAGCTTGATAAAAATGGTCATTTTAGAGTAAAATTTCAAATGGCATTTAGAGGCTTTTGCATCTGAACTCTTCATATATACACAAAATAATTATACACAGTGCACTCGCATATACTGTATAATGTAAACACAAACTTTTATTTTTGGTAACCCCTTCAGCCGTTACTTATTCACCATACAGCACTTGCCTCGAGTACCTTATTGCTTTTATAAAACAGTTACCCTACAATAAAAATATTAAAGAAAAAAAATATGTATTAGTGCAACTTTCATGAAGTAAAATCACTAAAAGCCTTCCTTCCGCTAGAAAAAAATAGTCCCTAACCGTGAACACTGACGGCAACGTCGTTCCGATGTGTGATATGCATGAAAGCTCAAATAAAAACAACATAGGAACTGCAGTGTCGCGCAGTGATACATAGAACCGTTGGGTGAAGCGGTCATAGCCGTGTTTTATCATGAATAAAACACAGCTATTGACCAATCAGAATCAAGGATTGGAACTAACCGTTTTATAAATAAATTCAATTAATTGCATAAATAGACATAAATAAATCCTGTAGAATATCTAGGCAGGTGGAGCTGGGGGAGGTGGAGGGGTTCAGAGTAAATCTGATTGTTTTACAGAAAACAATGAACCAGAATTTCTAAATGTAAAGCAAGCAATCTCATCACCAATCCGCTCGTTCGGCTCTCTAGATAAAAGTATCTAGAGTCGGGACCACCCCTGAATATAACTTAAGCTCAGCATGTAGCATTTGTGGCATAATGTTCATTTACACACCCAATTTGGTAACATTTTACTTGAAGGGGTGTGCATAAGACTGATATGACACCTTCATAACCATGACATGACATATGTTATGAATATGAAGGAAGTTTTATCCATGTTTGTGACAACTGTCATTAAGTGTCATTTGCTCAGTTATGACATTTTGAATGCAAATATGACATTGTTTAAGATGTCTTTGTTATGACACCTTGACATAAACCAATACATTATAACCTGTCAGTGTCTTTGTCATGACAACTTGACTTTACTAAGACAACACAACCTGTCATAAACATGACATGGCAGATTAATGATCAAACTTAAGAAGCTTTATTGGTTAACTAATCTGTCAGGTGGTTGGTTTTGACATTGACTGTCATGAAGCCATTATAACTTTTTAATGACAATTCAATTAGTACTACTGTAGTTGTTATAATGCTTCATGACAACCAATGTTGTTATGATGTTATGGTTTATGGCAAGATCTCATAACAAAGACATCTTAAACAATGTCATTATTGAGCGAAAGACACTTAATGACAGTTGTCATACACATGCATAAACCCTACTTCATATTCAAGACATTAGTCTTATGCACACCCCTTAAAGTAAAGTGTTACCAATAATTTTAACTTGTCCCTCCTTTCTGGATGGATTATTTGCAGAAATGTGAAGCTTATGACATTATATGAATTCTTCTGTTAAATCTTGTGCATTTGTTTGAGCTGTAAATTAGCAATATCGCTTTTATTGATGTTGAAAGATTTAGGAGCTATGTTGCCATGGCAATAAAGTTGTAGAATTGTAAATATCTTCACTCATAAAAGATATACAAGTGATTGTGTTACAGTAAAATCAGTCATCAAGCATATTGTTAATGTCTTGTGCCAATACACGGAGTGTTTAAATATTTATGAATTGGCCCTATTCACTTCTATTGTAAGTGCCTCCCCACAGCTGTAACCCACAGCTTTTTTATATATAAAGAAGAGAAGGCAGGACAAATATTGAAATGAATTTTTGTGGAAATCAACACTGTGCTAGAATTCCGCTTGTTCGGCTCTCTAGATAAAACTCAGGACTTGGGACCGTTATGCTCAGCATGTAGAGTTAGTAGCATTATGTTCAATTACACAATTTTTACACATTGCACACTTATCTGAAAATGACTTTCTCATTCAGGCGAAATCAAATCTACACAATAAAACTGTTTTTTATAAGTCTTCCCTGAAGCAAAGCATCGTGTTTACAATGCACTGGGATGATACACTGAGTGGATCAAGGGAAGAACTAATCATTGGATTGGAAGTTGTGATTAATGGCATCAAATCTTTAAAAGGGTTTTGTTTGAGACTCTTGGAAACAAGTAAACTACACGCCAGCTTTGCTTTCTGGGTTTTGTCTAAAGAAAACAGCACTTACTGGATTGCTTTGGGCAGAAATTCACAATATTTACACACAATTTTCTGTTGTCGTCTGTACTGTTCACGGAGTCAATATGTTACATGTACTTACCAAAGTAATAACAGTAAATTAGGCATCATTGCATACAACTAACCCTCAACCAAACCCTAATCCTAACCATATAGCAGTTCATTAATACTACTCAGTTCTTAAATATATAATTACACAGTAACAATGACACCTTAAAGGAGAACTCCGGTGCAAAATGAACCTTTGGTCTAATTACACATTGGTACCTAGTCGACCGTTCACTGAGATTTGTTTTCATGATTGAATCTGAATGTAAAGAGTTTTATCTCTAAAAACTGTTTAACGTATATGCTAGTATATGGGGGCATATAATAAGTAAAAATAAATCACTAACAAGGCTCAAAATTGTTCTCAATGCTTCGTTTTGCATGTATGGACCCTGATTATGCTACTGTGTTAATGTGGGGCTATTTTGAGCCTTGTTAGTGGCATTAACTAGCGATTTCTCTTTACTTATTATATGCCCCCATATACTAGCATTATAGGCTAAACAGTTTTTAGAGATAAAACTCTTTACATTCGATTATCATGAAAACAAATCTCAGAGAACGATTGACTATACCAATGTGTAATTAGACCAAAGGTTCATTTTGCGCCGGAGTTCTCCTTCAAAATAAAGTGTAACCTTAAATTGTTTTTAAATGTTTTTTCTTCGAAAGGAGAATATGGACTAGGGAAATGAGGGCAACTTGGCAAGTCAATTATGCAAATGAAGCGTGCCAAGTCGCGTTGACCAAGTCATATTGATGATCATGCTGATCATACTGAATTTCTGACAATGTCAGAACATTATCTTCGGTCACAAAACAATGGCCGTCTTTAAAGGGATAGTTCACTTTGAAATTTAGCTTACCTCAAGGGCATCCAAGAGGTAAAACGATATAAATACTGTTCTTTTTCTCACACAAACCGCTCGTTAGCACTAATCTAGTTACTGTCAATTGGTCACTGTAGACAGAAATAAGCTTCAGCCATGTTACTTGAACTCACAGAGACGCCATTATGTGTCATACAGAGAGAAGACTGTGAGTCACTATCAGAGACATGAGACTACTGCATCTTTCACAGATGGTCTATAGCGCCATCTACTGTTCACATGCATCATGGCAACCTGTCATTTTATATTTACTGACATTTGAACATTTCTTCAAGACAGTTATAAAAACAAGCAGTGGTAATCGCCTTTGAATATCGAAACCATCTGTTTAGATCTTGTGTGACAGTGTATTTGTAGCTTTAAATCTGGTGTCCATGTGTTAGTGACTTGCTTGTTTGTCGTGATGCATATTATCAAACACGCCTCTAATGGACATCTTCTTTAAGATGTGGCATTACAAAATGCTAGCGCTTCTACTAATAATATTTAACAGGCGTAATTGAACAGGCCATGCTTACTTTAAAACTGCTCTGTGTACTTTTACACCCTTTTCCCTTTTTTAACATAGTTGAGAAAAGTAAAAAAGAACGGTTGCCATTTTTAAATGCCACGTTGAATACAAAAAAACAGAATTTAGAACCGTACATGCTTTGCACAGAATAAAATATTGAGATCTTTTAAGAATTTTTGTTTATGACTTGGCGCACCTTTAATTATTATTATTTTTTTAAATACACTATATATAAAATTTAATTTTGACTAGTTCTCTTTGGCCAAATTAGAAATGTTTTGAATCATAACCATGTCTCATGAACCAGAGAGGTAACTTAAACTAAAGTTAAACTTACTCTTAGGTAAAATATACTATGCAGAGCACTTGTTTCAACATGTCAATCAGTTGTTCCCCTCTTTCTCCTTTAAAAGTCAATCTAAGTTACATTTTTAGCATCTATGAAGAAACTTTAACATCTATGGGACCTTTTCATTGCACAAAAGATTCTTTATAGTAGAAAAAAAGGTTATTTAGATGAAGAATTTTTCCTGAAAAGGTCTTTGGGAAATCAAACTTTTTTATGATGGTTTATGTATGACATTGCAGCAGAAACACCATTTTTAGAACCTTTATTTTTAAGTATATATATATACATATATACATACATACATTTATATACATACATATATATATATATATACACAAGTTGTATATTATTTCTCTAATTTTCAATAAA